CAAAGAATAGCTTTACGCTTTTCAATTTTCCCAACTGAAAAATTCTTCTTGACATATTTTGTATCATCTTTCTAAAAGTGGTTCGGTAATCCCCGATCACGCTGAATTAAATATACCCAGAACTATCAGCATCAACATTCTACCTTCAGAAGCCCCTTCTTCATCAGTGAACCCTTCTACATTCCTCATTGACTTTGGTGTTGCGGGTCTCTGCATTTCACCCCCCGTGTCCAGCTATGACTTTTGACGCTGGCACTGGCACTGGCACTTCCGCTTCTGCGAAATAAAATTCTGTAATTGCATCAAAAAAAAATATTATTAATAATAGTCGATGATTTTACATCAATTTATTTATTTGTTTATTTATTGCTGCTTGAAAAATTGAATTTACAGATAAAACAATAATCTATTTAAATATTTTTAAATATTAATAAAATAAATCAAGTTTTTTTTTTTGTATTAACTCAATGGTCAAGAGAATCACGATCATTACGTAAATACATCAAAAGAGTATTTGGTAATAACGTTTAATCATATTATCTAACCTCTCAAATTTTATAGACTATTGGAGGAAATATTTTTTATAAATCTGGAATTATAAAGAAAAAAATAATCATCTTAAAGGTCAATTTTTTAAAAAAAAACGAGGCTCCGAAAATGAATGCATATAATTACAGGTTTAATAAAGAAAAAATCTCAAATTAAAAAGTGGTTCAAACCTCAGTAATCTCCTGTCACGCCGTACATACAGATTCTATCTATTTCCATTGACATAACTTCTTATATCCCAGACCTATCCTCTACACATACACGACCACATGACCTATATGCACGAACTTACGAACTTAAAATAGCCTTATTTTCTGAATAAATTTTTTTTACGCACATGACTAAATAATCATAGAGTTATTTTTATATTTTTAGTGTCTTATTGTGCTAAAAAATTAAAAGTAATTATTTAAGAGAAATAAAATTTTGAGATTTAATAAAAATATTATTAATAATAATAGTAGTCAACAATTTAACATATTTTTAACATCATTTTATTTATTTATTGATACTTGAAAAATTGGATTACAGATAAAATAATAATATATTTTTAAATATACTTAAAAGTATATTTTTAATAAATCCGCTTTTTTTTTTGAATCATTGATAGAACATTACTTTCTGTATCAACACAAGAAACAAGTGACTTAAATTCATCAAAATCAACAGATAAAAGTCATTAAACGAAATACATATTTGGTAATTGCATTTAGATTATGTTATATCTTACTGATAATTTCAATTATCAATTACAGATTAGGAACATTTCATGTAAATATTTGATATGATGATATTTTTTTTTTATAAATCTGGAATTAAGTCAATTTCTACAATGTCGCAATGATGCACATTGTCTCTATAAAAGTTTGGATATTTTTTACATGTCATTAGAATGAACTTTAATTCAATATTAGATGTAATTAAGTTAACTTCTTTAATCAACATTCAATTATACAAATAATATTTACATAACTTTAATCTTCTTATGTTAATAACAGGTGGTCCCTGTATACCAAAATATAGTCATTTCAAAAGTCACGGGTGAATAAATATTATGTCAGGAGACTCACATGGGTTACCTAATTCAATTTTTTTCGTAACAAGAGCAACTTTTTTTTATATTTTACTCTAGAATGAATAGAATGATTAAAATGTCTTTTTTTTCGATTCCTAATTCATTTCTTTTACGTAAATGTTTTGATCTCCTCTGAATAAAGAAAGGATGTTAATTTATATGAAGTAATAGAATAATGAATAAATTTCTTTTTTTTCGATTCCTATTTCTAGAATTCTTTTTTACTTAAATATTTCACCTTCTCTAAATAAAAAAAGGATATTTATTTATATAAATAACTATAGATACTTTATCCGAAGTAATAACAAATGAATTGACAGATAAGAATTAATTATTTCCTAGATAAGCGTGGATAAGCGCGTTTAAATGTTGTCAAATTAAAGGAAACATTAAAATTCATATAAAAACTAAAAGGGGTTTCTGAAAAGGATAATTTATAAGCTCTATAAAATATTTTCGTAATATTTTCTTTAATATATTTCTTTACGTGTGTTTATTCTGTCATCTTTCAGGAGAAAAAAATTAAACAGTTTAGTAAGACTCTTTAACTTCGTGATCATCTTAATATATTTTATTATTTTTTGTTACACCACCATTGTTCAATTTCGGATTAACAAACAATAATAATATTTATCCTAATATGTAATAATAAATATATTAAATTATGGCAGTAAAATATTTATGAAAATTTAGAAATGATTAAATATAGATAAAAATAAATTAATATTTTGAATTATAAAAATAAGAAAGCAGAAATAGATTCAGTTAATTCTTTTTTTCGAAATTTCTTCATTGATAATTTTTTCAAAGACTTAGAAAATATAATTACGTCGAATTTCAGTTGTGTCATTTATTGATAATTTCCCTTTAATCTCTTTGTTTTTAGAAATTTCTCCGATCTTAATTTGTAATAAATTTAAATGTTGACAATGCATTTAAAATTTATAGAATCAATAACAACGATAATTAAAAATGAAACAAAATCGCTTTTTTTTTAGAATTTCAGTGATTGGGGCCGAACTTTTATGAAAATAAAAATGGGAAAATTGAATGTTATGAAACATTACAATATTACAATGACATATAATAAATGTTTTATTTTTCATTGACAAAACTTCATTTCCTATGCATCAAAAATCGTTCAAATGAAACTGTATTTTTGATGAATTAGGGAATTTTCCGCTTAAATATCATGCATAATGACTAATTTATGTGCGAATTAGGATCAATTAACCTAAATTAGGAAACTTTAATAAAAAAAAAAATAGAATAACTATGATTTTCAATTTTCCAAAATGAAAATAAATCAAATAATAATTACGAAAAATTTTAATGAATTAATTTAATAAAAAAAAACAAATTATCAAATAATTCACTCAAAGATGCGATCAAATAAATCTTCTTCTCTTTGCTTTCCTTGACATATTTTTGTATTATCTTTCTAAAAGTGGTTCAAATCTCAATAATCTCCGATCGCGCTGAATTAAAGATATTCCTTCAGTGGCATCGGCCCTCCTTCAGCAGCGGCCCTTCGGAAGTGATCTCTGCGTCATTTTATCTGATACGTGTCTCTGCGTTTTACTTACTGAAACAGCCGGCACTGGCACTTCAATGACTCCCGCGAAATAAAATTTAAAAGTAATTGCAATAAAAAAATTATTATTATTAATAGTCAACAATTTAACATAATTTTATTTATTTAATTATTTATTGCTGCTTGAAAAATTTGAATTTCCAGATAAAACAATAATCTATTTAAAATATATTTTTAAATATTAATAAAAATAAATCAAGTTTTTTTTTTTTTTCTTTTTTTGAATCAATTGATTAAAATATTTACTTTTTGTATAAATGAGTATTGGATAATAATGTTTAATTTGTTTATTTAGATTGTATTATCTAATATGTCAAAATTTTGTAGACTATCGGAAGTAAATATTTTTTTTATAAATCTGGAATTATAAAGAATAAAAAAAATTAATCATCTTAAAGGTCAATTAAAAAAAAAAACCAAGGCTCCGAAAATGCTCCGAGAATGAGTCACATTGATGCATAGAATTACGAGTTCCATTGTCTCTTTTTGAACAAAATAAATTGACATCACAGAAAACAATTATTTTTATTATATGCATTATAAATAATAAACTTTAATTCTTTTATTTACATAATTCCAATCGCCTTTAAACAATTTCAATGACAATTTACCCCAAAACTTTATTTCAAAATTAGTAGCGTGTAATATTGTCAAACCAAAATGTTATGTTAAATTAAATTAAATTAATAAGCCAGGAATAGAGAAATCATTCAAAAAAGTTAAATAAATGTGTCACGAAAACCTCATGATCAATAACAAGGAAATTCTATTCTTTTTTTGATTCCGAATTCTTTTTACGCAACTTTTCATTTTTCTCCCTAGATAAGTGCTTAAATGTTTCCAAATTAAGAAATTTCAATTTTATATATATATATTTCCATAATATTCTTTTACGCGTATTATTATGTTTCAGGGGAAAAAATAGAACAAGGTTTAATAAGAAAATCTTTAGATAGTTCTCTTGTCATTTCGTTAACATATTTCATTGACATTATTTATTCTTATATTAATTTTTTATATTATCGCTTATTTTTTTTTAAAAAAAAAATTTCTCATTACTTTTAATGAAACTAAAAAAAATATTATTAAATTCACATCCCTTTTCTCCCTTTTCTAAATTTTTTATTCGATCTTTTGATTCAAATTAAATATATTTTTGTTACATCACTGAAGAATAATTATGCGCAGTAATTGCAAGATCTTTCATCTTATTTTTGATTCTTTCCTGAGAAAAGTCTTTATTATTGTCAATAGAGAATGAAAAAGAATTTTTTCCCATTGTTCGACAATTCTCTTTCCTAAAAAAAATAAATTTGAGAATGATTGACAATTTCGGATTTGGAACACAAAACATTCCTAAACTCTTTCATGCATGATAAAAATAAAAAAAAAAATAATAATAATCAATAAGAACTGATTATAATCCTAAATAGTATCATTGTTTACGATAAAAATGTTTATATTTGTTTGTTTTATCTCAGTGGTGGAATTATTTATTTTTGTATTTTAAATATTTTAAAGGTGATTATCCTATGATCTAAAGATATAAAGATATGGAATTAAAAATATTGGAAAGGAGATTTGACTCCGAAGACAGGATATTAAGAATTCTAAATTTAAAAAAATTGCATAATCAAATTTATTTTTTAATTTGCACAAAAACTCATTGAAAATTTATTATATACATATTTGTTTTACAGTTACCCTATTTTGTAATATATATCCTAAAATGGTTAATCAGGTGATTTTTAAGGTCATATGAATATTTTCTATAAAATAACGATGATTTTATTTTTCAAAACTTTATGGGATTTGAAAACTAAATTCTTAAATTTTTTCTGTTCTTCGGAAGAAGAAATAGTCTATAATGCAGGTGAGGTATCTCAATTATTAAGAAATATTTTTAAATTGAAATTATATATAATAAAATAGTTCGGTAAGCAATTTTTTTTTTTTACGAATAATTTTTGTTTCACGATAAATTTTCCTATACTTATTCATTTTTTGTCAAATTTCTATCTATAATTCTATGATTGATTTTTTTTTAGAAGCCCTTCAACTTCTAACTTCATGATATTTAAAAGATTATAGATGATGGTTCATCAAGTGTTAAAAATAGTCCTTCAGATCGCAGGCGTTGGCGTTTTTGTCAAGAGTGTTTCAAAGAACGAACAAGTCATGGTTGGTGTAAAGATTGCGAAACTTCATATATGGTCTTAAATTTCGAAAGGTGGACCACGGGAAATGAAGGTCTTGATAATTTGATCCGAAACACCCAAAAAAATGCAGCCCAAACTTGTGATTATTTAGAATATATTGATTTCAATGAATTCGATTCAATCGAATTTATAGCTAAAGGTGGCTTTAGTGCTGTTTATAAAGCCGAATGGTTAGAAGGCCCTAGATGGAATTGGGATGAAATTGGCCAGATGTGGTGTCGCAGTGGTCCAATCACTGTTGCACTCAAAAGATTAGATAATTCTCAAAACATATCAAGTGACTTCTTAAATCAGGTAGATTCCTTTTTTCTTTTTATTGTTATTATTTTATTTTATATTATTTATATTATTCTTTCTTTTTATTATTTTATTTTATAATATTTTATTAATATTTTATCAATATTTTATTTTATATAAAATAATTATTTTATTTTAATTAATATTATATTTATTTTTATATATAATTAATATTTTATTAATATTTTATCAATATTTTATTTTATTTTATTTTTATATATAATAATTATTTTATTTTATATTTTATAATAAATATTATATTATATTATATTATTATTTTATTTTTATTTATTTTCATTGTTTTTCTTTTATTTCTTATTTTGGATTAGTGGATTAAAAAATTATAATATATAATTAAATATAATCTTAATTTTATTTTTTTTCATTCAAGGTGGAAAGACATCATCGTTGCTTACAAAGCGGATCACTCGCCGATTGTTTTGGAATAACTCGTGACCCAACTGGCGCATATATGTTTGTAATGAGATATTACGAAAATGGTAATTTATATCAATACCTTGATAAATCAAAAGGAATTATTAGTTGGAGAGATATGGTTGATATGCTTTGGGGTGTTGCGGGAGGTTTAGAAAGGATTCACGCTGAAAATCGATTTCATTCAAATCTTCATGGAGGTAATTTATTAATTGAAGATGAAGCTGTTTCCACCGATGCTCGTATCGCCGATGTTGGACTTCATGGTCCTGCGGAAAGACAAAAGTCATCTCAAATATTTGGTGTATTACCATTTATAGCACCCGAAATATTACTTGGTGAAAAACCTACTCAATCATCTGATATTTATAGTTTTGGGATAATAATGTGTACATTAGCAACAGGAAAGAGACCATTTGCGGATCGTAGTCACGATTTTAATCTCGCCAAAGAAATTTGTTTTAATAATCTACGACCAGATATTAGTGATATATTTAATGACATGCCAAAGGCATATTATGAATGGATGGTAAAATGTTGGGACGCAAATCCCCAAAAACGACCAACAGCGTCACAATTAAATGAATTATTAGGAGAATGGATTACTTCTATTTGTGATGATCCAAATCCTTCAGAAATTGCGGATCAATTTTCCAATGCAGATGAAAAAAGGTGGGAATTAATTGGAAAGCATATGAATAAAATACATTCACCATCCATTCATCCTGGCGCCTATTACGTCAGTCGTCCAATAGATTTTTTTAAAATAAATAATTTTTATAACTTTCATAACTTTTATAAACTTTGAGAAATAAAAAAAAAAGAAAGAATTTGGTACGTTTAAATTTATTTTTATTTATTTATATCTCTATTTTAGAAATAGATCGATAATTAATATATTTTCAATTCAAAAAAAAATGAAACAATAGATAATTTTATTCAAGATCCTCAACAAAAAGTGCAGATGTATGGAAAGTAATAAACGAATACTTTTAAAAGTGTTAAAGGAATAGTAGGATTTAATTCATTTATTACAGTTTATCTTATTAGAAGTCCAATGTTAAAAATGGATTATATTATGGAGTAAATTATGGTTTAAAAGTGATGCGTGACTTTTAAATATAAGCAAATATTTTTAAATATTTTAATTTTTAAGCATAAGTTGAATAACCACAAATTATATATATTTTTAAATTTTATCGAATTTTTATTTTATTTTATTTATCTTTTATCGAAAAAAAATTTTATATCAAATTTCTATTTGTAAATGTAAATTTATTTTTTTTATCGGGATTTTTTTTTTATCCCCTAAGCATTTTTAACACATATATTATTATTATTAATATTTGTACTATTTTATTATATTGTGTTATACTAAAAATCATATCATCAATCTCTCTCTCTCTTTTTTTTTTTTTTTTAATATCTTTTCATATTTATTAATCAAATCTTAGACAAAAAGAAAAAAAAAATTGCAACGGGTGATTATAATAATATTAATTATCCATCAGGGCGGTAAATCGTAAGTTGAAATTACGTCCAACCCAGTTCTCTATAAATGAATTCCCCCCTTGGAACATAGAAACCATATATTGCAATGTAAAGACATTTGGAGTCCTTTAGAGAGGATATTCATTTATAGAGAGCAATTAAATTGGTCATGTAAATTTAAATGTGATTCATAAAAACGTGTATACTTTATATATTAATTTTTTTTTTCTTTTCCAGCTATTTTTAAAGTCAGGTAAGACTTTTGAAATCATTTTATTGCATTATCACGTTGTATTGTATGTAATAATAATTACAAAAGAATTGACATAATAATTACAAAAAAAAAATAATAATAGAAATAAAAAAGAATTGTATTAAATAAATAAACAAATAAATAAAATGGAACTCTTGAAAATTTAAAAATTCCTTTCTTTTTTTTTTAATTATTATTATTTGAGTTCTTTTATTATTTTATTATTCAAATTTTTTTGTTTCTTGGCCTTTTTTTTGGATTGTTCAAGATTTGGAGCTGATACTTTACATTTACCTACCATAACTGAAGCTAATTCAACATCAGGAATACTTTTGACTAATTCTTTCTCTCGTGGTGTGATTTCGGGATCACGAATGAATAAATTGATGGACATTTTACTGGCTTGACCTTTCTTCATTGATCCCGGAGTTAATTTAACTTTATATTTATATTTCTGTAAAGCTATGTAAGGTGCACAAACTGGCACAGCAAAAAGAAGAATATCATCAGGTAATGGTACCCCAGTCAAAGAATCAAGCACCGTTAGATTTTCCTATAATAATAAAGAGAAGAAAATTAGAATTTATTTTTTTTTTTTTTTTTAAAAAAAAAAAATTAATATATAAGTTATATCTTTAAATGAAAAATATTTACCAATGTTTCATTTTCCAAAACTTTAATATTTTCTTCTTTTAAAAGTTGCCGAATTTCTTCCGCTTCTTCGTTCTTTGGACCATCAGCTAAATTTTCAACCTCAAGTTCATTTTGATATTGAAATAATAAATTATCAGAAATATTTTCCGATTTTTTTGGATCATTTTTGCTGTTATTTTCTTTTTTCGAATTTTGAATTTCTTTTTTATTTTTTTTGCCTTTTTGTTGAGGTGTTTTGCTTGACTATACAATAAAATATTGTTGTAGGAATATTTATTTCATTATTATATTATTGTATTTAATACATTGCGAAAAAAAAGAAGAAAAATAATAATAAACCAAATTAAAATTTCACTTACACCCAATAATTCCATACGCAATAACCTTTCTTCTTCATCTTGATCAGCATATTTATCTTTCAATTTTTTAATTTTTCCCTTTTTTCCACGAGGTAATGACGTTGGTTTTTCTGGTTTTTCTGATTTTTCTGATTTTCCTTGCTATTGTATGTATGTAAATTTTAAGAAAATATAAAATGAATTTTTGATGAGTCAAATTGGTATTATCAAATCAAAATATATTTAATTCGCGATTCGCGAGAAACGGAAAGGATTTACATAATAAATTTTGGGGCAAAATAAAATTTTAAATATAATCGAAAAGAAAGTTTTGTTTATTAAAAAAAGGAAACTTTATCTTATTTTATTAATGTAACCATTTGACTTTAAAAATATATACAATCAGAACCTTTGATTTTTTTTATCATAATTGATAAAATGACTTTTGTAATTTTCCCATTCCGGCTTGAGATTATCGCATATATATATTTTTACTATATAACTTATCCCCGCATTTTATTAATGTAGATCTTTCCGTTTCTCGCGAATCACGAATTAATATAAAAAAAAAATTTACCTGTCCTTTACCAGAAACATTTAATTCTTTTTGGATTGTTTTGGTTGGTTTGTCTCCTTTAGTTGTTTTTTCCAAAGGAATAACAAAAGGAGGAGAAAACTCTAGTACAATATTTTCAGCATTTTCATCAGGAAACATTCCATCATCCTTCTTCTTTTTCTTTGCCAATTTCCTTTCTTTTGCTGACATATATTTTTTTGTTTGTTTACTATCTCCACCAACATTTATATTTATTCCACTTGTTCCAACAATATTTAAATCTTCTTCATTTTGATCACCTCCATATTCATCTAAATTGTATTTTTCCCACGTGGGTTCTTCTAATGTTGTTTCTTCATTAGTCGAACGAGAATTTTTTGAATCTTTCATTTGCTTTCGATTCTCAAGATCATCATCATCATCATCATCATCATCATCATATTCATTTTCAATTTCATCAATATCATTTTTCACTTCATTAACTTTATTATTATTATTATTATTGGCATTAGAATCCTATTAAATAAAATTTTTTATTAATTAATAATATGTCAAATAAATAAAATGTAAATAAAAATAAAATAAAGATAAAATAAAATAAGATAAAAATATAAAAAATAATAAAATAAAAATAAAAATAAATATATAATTACAAACATTAATTATTTCTTGTCCATTATTATTATTATTATTATTATTATTATTCACAACAATATCTTCTTCCTCATCTTCTTCAAATTTAATAGCACGCCTTTCATTTAAATGATTTGGTATACTTTGTTCATCTAATCGAAAAAGTAAACCCAAACCATATACCAATTGAACTGGAGGTAAAAAATTCTTTTTACCTCGAATCATGAAAGAACCAGTTGTAAGATATTCTCCAGTAGGAGCAGCTTTAGATACTTGATCCGCATGAACCCAAAATGCACTAGTAATAATTTTTGCTTCCCAAGCTTTACTTTGACAAACTGACATAATTCCAGCTTGAAAAAGTGTACTAGGAGGTATTGGTTGATTTTCTTGAGAATTTTTTATAATTACTGATGCGGCACCATGTAAATCGGCATGAACGTAAGCATCCCCTTTTTTTTTTATTTGTTAAATAATAATAATAATAATAATAATAAAGAAATTTTTAGAAATTTTAGAATAAACAAATAATTAAGTAATAAATTTTTTTTATTACCTTTACGTAAATGTCTTTTGACCAATAATTCATTTTGTTGCATGTCATGTCCAGCTATAACCAAATAATTCTCGGAAGAAATAAACCAAATAAATTTTTCAAACCAGAAAGGTTTACGAATTCGATTTATGGAAGCAGTAATTTTTGTTTCTTTAAGATCTTGTTTGATTTTTTGTTCCGCACTTTTGAAGGCCTATTAAACATAATGAATCAGTAAGTATAATGAATACAACAAATTAAATAAATAAATATGACAAAATAAATAAAATAAATATAACAAATAAATATAATATAATAAGATTCTACCTTTTCGGCACTAGCCAATGTTTTCGTTTCTTTTATTGCAGATTGCTTTTTGGAATCATAATATTTCTTGGCATTCGCAAAAGCAGTTAAATAAATATCGACATCTACTTTTTCTTCAATAATATTTTTATCTTCACTATTATTTGATTCATTTGATTCCGAATCTGATGAATCATAGAAAGAATCATCAATACTTTCTAATCTCCTAATAATATTTTTTTAAATTCAAAAATATATTAAAAAATAAATTAAAGAATATTAAAAAATAGATATTATATATATATATATATATATATACATATATATTACCTTAACGAAAGAGTAATCTGATTTATTTCAAGTTTTAATCCTTCTATTATAGCTGCGATAGGATTTCCTTGCCTCTTTTCATCCATTACCAAAATTTCCAAATCTTTCCAATCCATTGAACTCGCGATAGCATTTCTTATAACTAAAATTGCTTGATCCACTATATCAATATTTTCTTCAATTAATTTAGCTTTACGAATATTTAAAGTTTGAGAATTTTGTAAACTTTCGACACGAGAATATTGTTCTTTTTTTATGGCTTCCAATTTTTTCATGGCAGTTTTTTCTTGATTCCTTTGTTTCATCATTAATTTTTGAGATTCCATTGATGAATAATATTCATCCACGCAAAGATCAAAAGAATCAAATTCTTTATAATTTTTAGATTTATGTTGTTCAAAAAGAAATGGATGAAATTCATTATAACTAAAAATTTAAATTTGAAATTAATCAAATTAAATCAAATCAAATCAAATTCATAATAAGTCAATTAATTTTAATAAATTCAAGAAAACACATACATTTCCGGTTCATCCTCTTTTTCCCCTTCTTCTTTTCCTCCTTCATTTTTTTCATTTTTTGAAGTTTCATTTTGTTGAAGTAAAATTATATATCCCTTTATATCCCAAATAAAAAGTATATAAAAATTATTATATGTATTTATTTGTAAAATAATTATATTTAAAATATTTCAAATCACAAATTAATTTAAATAAAATAAAATAAAAATAAAATACCTTTTGTTTAGACTTGGCACATTCATTTATAATTTTTTCAGCTTCCGCAAATCCTAATTCTAAAGACTTTAATTGTTCTGAATCTAATTAAAATAAAATAAAAATAAAAATAAAAAATAAAAAATAAAAATTTATATTAAATTTATTAAATAATTTAAATTTATCAATTTCTAATTTTAAAAAATTTATTACCTTCTGATGTATCAAAACTTCCAATTTTAATATTTGGATCAATTTTTGCAAATCGAATAGCATGTTCAGTTAAGGATTGTCCATAATCTATTAAATAAAAATAAAAAAAAAAAAATAAAATCAATTTAATAAATTTATAATAGATTTGTGATAAAAGAAAAGAAATTCAATTATAATTTTTAATTTAACATACTCAAACTATCATTTAATACTTTTTTTAGAATATATTTGGCATCTTTAGTTATGAGAACCTTTTGTAAACGAGCTCGAGTTACGGGTTCAATGGGACGATCAAAAATATTTAAATCATAAATTTGTCCAACTGCAATCTTTTCATTTTCTTTAGGTTGAACGACTCGCAATAATGTTAATATTTTATATTCATGATTCGTGAAAATAATATTTCCCTAAAAAAATTAAAGTTAGTTAAATAAAATAAATAATTAGGAAAATTAGGAAAGAAATTCAAAATATCAGATTAAAAATGAATGAATAAAAAAAAAATAATTTAAGGATCCATGAATTACATTAATAACAATAATATAGTTACCGAAGCATAAAATTCAGCTATGATATGAAATGTATTTTCTTCAGTTGAACCAGCAAATTCAAAGTCAATAATTCTATCAACTCCAAGTTGTTTAATATCAGTTAATCTTCTAGTTTTGATATATTTTCGTATCTGAAAAAAAAAAGAATATAATTTATTATTATTATTATTATTATTATTATTAAATTTAAAAACAATTAAGAGCAATGAAATTTACCTTTGAACAAAAAGCCGAAGGAGTTGAAGATTTATCTCTAGAGAATTGTGTCGAATGAATCCTTATACCAGATTCTATCAATAAATATTCTTTTCGATCAGGCTTTAATTAAGTCATATGAAAATAAAAAATTATAATAAATAATTAAATGAAAATTGCAATTTCACTTTTAAATTAGTAAAAAGAATAAATAAAAACCTTAGAAAACTTGAATAAATAAGTTTTCGGGTTTATATCATAAACATTTTGTAACCTTAAGCCAACGATCCTATAATAATAATGATAATAAAAATAATAATGACATAAAATTCTATAAAATTAAAAAAAAAAAAAGTAAAATTTAAAAATACCTTTCTCTTAGATCTGATACTGTAGCTCGTACGTCAAGTGCAGAAAATCTTTGCTTCATTGTTTTTTTACGACAGAAAAAGATGTGAATTTTATTTTATCAATTATAACAAATTTTTCTTACTAAATAAGGAAATCTTCGAAATTCAATAGTAAAATTTTTATAATAAATATATGTAACAAATATACATAATAATAAATATATAAAGTATAAATAATTTTTATATATAAATAAAAATAAAAATAATAAATATACTAGATAATAATCATTTCAACTTAATTTTAAACATCAATTCTTCACAATGATTAACAACAGAGGAAACATATTTTATAGGAGCATTTATATCTACTAATTCAACATCATATTTTCTATAAAATAACATCATCAATTGTTTCATTTGTAACATTGCCAATTGTTTTCCTGGACCTTTATTTTTTTTTTTTTTAGTAAATGTTTAAAAATTAAATATTTTTTTATAATTTTATAATTAGAAGAAAATCTTGATTAAAAACAAAAAAAAAAAATTATTAAAATTATTAAAATTTAACATACAAATTCTTGATCCACCTCCAAAAGGTAAAAATGAATTTCTCTGAATAGATTCTGCATTACTTCCCATAAATCTATCAGGATTAAATTTTTCTGGATCTTCCCAATGTGCCTACAAATAATAGTGAGTATTTTGTATGAGAGTGTTTTAGAAAGTGGGAATTGTAATATTATAATAATTATTATAATAATTATTATAATTATTATTAAATTATTATTATTATTATTATTATTATTATTATTATTATTATTATTCTATCACCTTGTTCATTTGAATTTCTTTTACATTTATTTTAAATATTGTTGAAGGTTCAAATTTGTATCCATCAATCTCGTCAGCTTTACTATTTATTCTGAATAATGTTGAAACTGTTGTCATAAGACGTGACACTAATTATATTAATTAATTAATTATATTTATCATATAAATTATATTAATATATTTTAAGTGATTAACTAAATCTAAATAATTCTAAACCTTCTTTGATAATGGCTTCACAATAAGATGATTTATTGAGTTCTTCATATATTATTGGTCTATTAATGTCTTTACCAAACATTAATTCTATTTCTTTCATCATCTTTTCTTTGACTTCAGGATAATGCTCGATATAATAAATTAGATAACAAAAAGAATTTGATGTCTATAGAATCATTATTATAAATATTATAAATTATTATTAAATAAATATTATTAAATAAATATTATTAAATAAATATTATTAAATTATTAATTAATTATTATAAATTAAATTATTAATTAATTAACTAACTGTATCAATTCCACCTCCAATAATTTCGTAAACAATTTCTTGAATTTCATCTTGACTCATTGGTTCAGAATCTTTGGTTGTTGTATCATGAGATGTATTTAATGTTAACATCATTGTTAACATATCTGCCTTTAATTCTTTTTTTTCTGATGATTTATTTATATTATATTTATAAATTTCTTCAATTTCTTTTTTTCTCTCTTCAACAAGTTCTTTAACTTTTTCATTTAACCAACCAACTTCACTTAATAATTTTTTAGATTTGGCTCGATAAGGTGGATATAATATTCTTAAATATTTTGATGTATCCTTGAAAAAAATTGTTGCCATAAAATGTGTTCGAATAGCTTTAACCATTTTTTCCGATTCTTGTAAAATTGTTGTTGAATTATTAATGACTTCTTCTTTTTCTTCCTTTTTTGAATTAGGAAATGTATTATAATAATTTAACATTGCGTATACTTTCTTATTTGTTGTCGTGATAAAAGTAAAATCTGTCATAAATCTCATCATCCAATTTGCTAGATTTAATTCTATTCCCAATTCAAGATTAATCCAATATCTTTCCATTTCTGAAAAAAGTTCTGATGTGATTTGTACTGATCGTCTCAAAAATTTCGGTGACATGAAAATTTGATTAATAAATTTTCTATTAGTTATCCATCCTTCTAAATTTAAATTATAAATTATTCCTTTATCCATTAAACCCATTAAATCAAGTCCTTTATTTTCTGCTGTACGAAATGAATAATTATTATTATGATATGAGGGATTTAATAATTTGGTGGTTAAATCTGCTCGACTTATCCAAACATGTCTATTAGATCCTTGCCAAATTTCCCAAAAATCTCCATATTTTAATTGCATTTCTTCCGCTGTTTTCATAAAATCCGCTCGATACGCTTCGATATTACCAATAATAGGAATTGGTATTGGTCCTGGTAATCTTTTATTTCTGGTAAAATATTGAAGATAAAATATTAATACATATGTCAATAATCCTATAATTAGGATATTAACTATATCGAATAAATTGTAATTTTCCATAAATAAAATCATTTCGTATTATTTTATGTAATGTAATGTCAGTTAATGTTCGTGAGAGATTGGAAAGTCAGATTTTTGAATCACTTGTGACAATCATTTATGTATATATGTTTTGATCAATTAAATTATGATCTCATATGACAAGTCACCAAAAATTGATATTTATAACAATAGACTATATTATTCCATACAAAATATTTAATAAGTAAAATTTATGAAGTTATAGAATTAAAATATATCAAAAAGGTTAACATATATATTTTATATAATAAAATAAAGAAATTTTATAAATTTTCACATTTATGTAAATTTACATTAATTTGTAAATATAAGAATTAAAATATTCAGCTTCAATTATTTTAATTTATTATTAATTTACAATCAAAAGGAAAAATGAAACATGCTTCAAAAGTTATTAAATATTAACCAGAAAAAAAAATGTATATAAATTTCCCTATCTTTAGAGAATAATCTCGCGGACAAAAATTATTATGTTGATTTAATCAAATATGTCTGTTTCTCCAAGAAACACTTCGCTCATAATTGAAGATTCTGTCCAAACACATTTAAAAAATAAGACTAATGTTACTAAAACCATGAACGCTTTTATAATTTATCGGAATGAATATAAATATACGCACCCAAATAATAACTCGTCTAAAGATTTGTCAAAATTGGTAGCTGAACTTTGGAATAAGGAGCCAGAAGATGTTAAAAGTTATTACAGGGAAATATCTAAACAGGTCAAAGAACGTTATAAAGAAATTGCCCCGCTCCTTTTTTCATCCACAACTTTGGAACGATTAATAAAGTTTCTACAAAAGCATAACAGCATCTCATTAGAAACCAGTCCTCTAATGGGCCAAAATACTTACTCGATTTCTCGGAATATACCCACGATAATTTTCTACTTTTTAAAATAATTGAATGTAAATCCGATCATGTGACATAAATCATCATTGTGGTTAGAAGTGGGGTAACTTATTTTTTTTTTATGGTAATATATTTATTGATTTTTTTTTAAAATGAAAATAAATGATCCCAACTTGAAAGCTGTTCATAACCTTTACCGCTTTCTTAGTCTTTACTGCAAGCTGAAGGTGACGAATAGGTTCAGCCATAGGAATAAAACTCTTCCATGATTCCTCATCATCATTATCCCCATTATTATATGCAGAGAGAATTTGTCTCGGATTTGATAACTGATATCCATAAACAAAATCATCATCATCCACCATTGAATACTGTCCACACCTTGATGCAACCATCACCTCCCTCCATAAATTCACATCCGGAATTAAATCCTGATACACCATACTTCTTACTTTTTCCATAACTATATCAACCCAAAATACAACAATTCCATGAAATCTCTCACAGCCCACGTAACTTAATAAAAACGGCCAAAATTTATTAAAAATTTTAAAAAAAATAAAAAAAAAAAAAAAATCCGAAAATATTTCTGCATATAAAAGTTTTTTTTTATTTATTAAAGTAGTAATAAAAATGATACTAAATAACATTAAAGCTGAGAATATATAGCATCTTATGTAAGTATTCAGATATATTTAATTAAAATTGAGTGAGTGATTAAATGTCAGAATAATTTTCGAACGTCCAGGGACGTTCGAAAACTATTCTTTGGAATTTGATTCGCTCAATTTTAATTAAATATATCTGAATACTTTACATAATATTTTATATATTCTCAGCTTAAATGTTATTTAGTGTCATTTTTATTACTACTTTAATAAATAAAAAAACTTTTATATGCAGAAATATTTGATAATTATTTTCAGATTTTTTTTTTTTAAATTTTTAATAAATTTCGGCTGTTTTTATTCACGCCTAAGTAAAGTCCAAATTTTCACTAGATACTACGAAACATCGTTCTAATTATATTTTTAGATATTGTTTCTGGCTACAATTTCTTGTAAGATAGTTGGCATCTACCTTTAATATCTATCGAATCCGATATAGGTAACGTTCAAAGATTAATTTTTTTATTTTTTGTCAGTTTTATGTAAGCATTCACAAAATATATCATATGATAGCTTTAGTTTAGGGAAAAAAAGTTTGTGTAATTTGGATCACCCATTATGCTACAATTAGCATTTTAAATATTTTATAATTTTTTTAGTTGCCCAGTGACTTTAATCTGCATTTATTCTCTATTCCGAAATTTTTAAAAAACAAAACTTACGTTAAGAATCAAAAAATAAAAATAAACCACATTTTCTTTATTATATTTTTTAAAATAAACGTTCAGAATTTACGCGTGCACGTTTCATGCTATTTCTTTTATTTTAATTTAGAACTCTCAAGATTTAATTAATATTAGAATGTGTCAATTTACCATATTGTAATAAAATCAAAATATCATTTGCACATTTATGTAGCCACTTTAGCCATACTGAAATAACTTCGTTATTACATAATACTTATTAATATTAGATTAACAACATAAGGTTTAATTAATATCTGTGTTATATTATATAAAAGACAAAAAACACAATTTAAATATATTTATTTATTTTTTTTGAGGTAATGAAGTTCTTTGTGTCCATAGAAACTTATTGTATTTATATTACAAACCAATGTATTTATTTATTTTAATATATTAATTGTTTTTTTGTGGTGATGAAGTTGATGAATTTGCAATCGTTTAAACAAGGTTCAATTCCTGTTGGCACAGACGAACTTTTCTATTTTTGTCTATTATATAACTTTATATAGATCTAATGTAACATTAGGAGAATTCGACCAATATTCGGATGCAAATTATCTAGACAAAATAACTGGTTTGGGTTTTAAAATTTATATTTATCATTATCAAATATGCAATAAAATCAATAAAATCAATAAAATCATTAAAATTAACAAGAAAATTAAATAAAATTACTTTATTTATGGGCGAATATGTTTGATAACTCGTGAGTAAAATCTATTTAGACGTTTTGCCCATGAGTTATCAAACATATAATTAGAGTGCCAAAATGTGAAACTTTATCGTAATTAAATGATTACTTTCATTGATAAGTATACTTCATACCATACCATTGACAAGATATGCTCATATTTTAGAATTTCTCTATATTTCGGCTATTAGTTTTTACAGTTTAGAAGTTTTTTCTTTCCATATTTAGAGAAAATACATTTTTACTATAACGAAAATTCCTATTATAGAGGTTCCTACTGTAATTTAAAAAGATTAATAATAAATATTTTGATCACATTCTTCCTGAAGAACATTAGAAATCGTTCAATTCCGGAATAAATCGGAATAAATCGGAATAAAGCGGAAAGGTAATCAGATAATATCTTTAATATTTTGTCAAAGTTAACTAAGTTAAGAGTAAATATTAAAATACTTAAATACTAAATTCTTGTGAAGATATCTTAAAAATAAACTTTTAATTCTTTTGATTACTTTAAAAATGAAAAATTGGCTCCAGTTCCGTTTTAACCCGAAACCAATTACATGCTTTGCTCCAGCAAAAACATTTACCATAAAAAGGAAAAGCAAATATAAACAAATAACGCAAAAATATTTAATTCAGAACGAGTGAAGGGTTCATAGAGTTCTCCTTGTTACACCAACGCTATCGTTACGCTGCTTTAAGTGAATTTAAAGAGAATTCTTTTATCTTGTGGAATTTTAACAATTTTATTATTTACAAATCATCGTAGTTTTTTTATTATTATTTGTAGATAATAGGAAATGTTATCTATTCTATCTGTTTTCTGTGCAATTTTCCTATTTTCTATCTATTTTCTATGTCGGGTTGGTTATCTCTAAAATGGTAACACTATTTATAGATATAAAATCGGTTGAAAAAATTCTTTTTTCTTAACATTTTACTTATAAGAAAATAAAGCATATCAATTTATTACTCTTTAGTTATTCTTATTAATTCTTTAAAAATAAAATATGAATTTACAAAATCAAGTAAATAATCTAAATAATCTTTTGATTAATTTGAATATTCATCCTCCTCCAAATATTGAGGATGTCGTAAATTCGAAGAATTTCAGAAAATTTCCCAATAGACATGAGAATTACACTGGATATAAATTACTTAGGTTCAATGTGGCAACCAAAGGTAAACTACTGGGTGAAAATAATCCTTTTATTATAAGTAAAGTCTCTAATTTTTTATGGGAGAATAGTACAAAACGAGAAAAATCCGAATATATCGATTTGGCAAAAAGAGTAAAAATTCTTTTAAGAAATAAAAAATGACAACTTATGAATATCAACATTACACACACCAATAAGAAGAATTGGTTTATTTTATTTTTAATAATAAGAGAAATCTTTACAATAGAAAATTTTATGTAAAAAATATAATTCGAAATTTTTAAAGAATAATGTTATTCAACGTTCGAAGGAAATAAATAAGATGGGATTTGCTGTTTATTTTTGGAAATGTATTATTAAAATAATTTGATAACACATTATTTTTTCTAATTTTGTCATAAATATTTATGGAAATACGGAATATTCTTAGATTATGTAAGCATGTTTTTGTTTGAGTAATAATCAAATCATAGATGAATAAAAGAGAGGGTTTTTCTTTTTCATGAAAATGGATTTAAATTAAAAAAAAAAAAAGTATTTGTATATATGTGTGGTTTACAAGTCCTTAGCATGGTATATTTTTGGATTATTAAAAGTTTTCATATGTATAAATGTGATGTGTTATTCCATAATTCAAATTAATGGAATGAAATAAAATTTTGGTTTTTTTTTTTTAAAAAAAAAAAAAAATGTATTTGTATGTGTTATTTATAAGGTAGGTTTTTTGATTATTCCATAAGAGCCTTTAATCTTTTCGCCATATCAGTATATAAAATTCTTTGCCATGGTTGGCTATGCTTCCACAAAAGATTGGAAACATTACTTATTATGAAATGGTTATTTTCACCCAATATTCTACTGTGATTGGCCACATTAATTTTAAATATTTTAAATCCAGTACAATCTTCATTTCTACCACGTTTACGGGTGGGATATTTTTTAACATTTGAATAATAATTTATAACTTCCTCGATAGTAGGAGGTACATGGATTAAATTTATATTCAAATTACCAAGAAGATTGTCGGCTCGAGTTTGTAAATCCATCTCTGTATATTATTAATAACAAAAAGAATATAAAAAAATATATTTAGATAAAAAATTATGATTTGGATGGAATTTGAATTTTTTTTTTTTTTTTTTTTTTTTTTTGCAGAAAGAAAATTGAAGGATATTTATACTTATTTTTAATCATTATTACGTATTAAATTATTATTATTGTTGTTATTATTATCATTGCATGTACTTTTTTTTCTGGAATTAATTTTATAATATTTATTAATAAAGTTTGTAAACATAATATTTATTTATTATTTATTTTAAATCGTAGTATTCCGAATGAAAGAAACATTTAGTAAACACAAATGCAAAATGATAACTGGTGATAATAAATAATATTTTAATTTATAACATCTTTAGAATTATTGATACTATTTGTATTCGTTATATGACAGTTTTTGATAAATTTCGCATGACGGAAATTAGTATAAGACCGAATTTGCGTAATAAGGAGTACATAAAGTTTCTTTATCCATCATAAATTTTTATTTGAACCGTGAAAAAGAAAATAAAAGTTAACCTAACTGTATCAGGATGTAAAATGACAGGATTGGTGCACAGCATATAATCGGCGAATAGAAATATATATATATATAATTTATAGTAGAATTACTTTTCAAGTTGATATATTATTATTTAACATCTTTAGAATCTTTGATTTTATTTAAAACTTCCTTGATATATATTAGGAGGCAGATAGGAAATTTATATTTAAATTAGTTTGCAACAAAAAAAAATATATAAAATATGTAAATAAAAAATTCTGATTTGGATGGAAAATGAAGTATTTTTATATATTAAAATTATTATTATTGTGTGTAGACTTTTTTTTTTTCGGAGCCTTTACCCCGCTAAATTTTATTAATTTATATATTTAGTTTTATAATATTCTTAAGAAATTCCTGTATGCGATATTCCAGTTAATTAAACATAAAGGGAAATGAAGCTGAACGTCAATTGATAAAGTTTGTAAACATGAAGTTTATTATTTATTATTAAATCGTGGAATCCCGAAGAAAAAAAAAAATTCAGTAAACAAAATGCAAAATGACTAACTGGTGATTTAAAATAATTTAACCACAGCATATAATCATAAAGACATATATAGAATTTATGTAATAATCAAAATTGTTTTCAAGTTGATTAAATTTGTTATTTATTATTTATTTATTACTTTAGAATCTTTATTCGATTCAAAAATAACGTAAGACAAATATTAGTATTTGCGTAATGAGGAGCAACCGTTAAATTCTTTTCTGAATCAAACCGTGGAAAAAAAAACAAATGGTAAATAAAGTTAAACCAACTGCATAATTTAAATACAAGATGCAAAAACAGACTGGTGATCGATAAATAACAATAAATAAAAAAAAAAATTCAGAATCACAAATTAAATATTATTTTCATTATTACATATTAAAATTAGTATTACATTTTTTTTTTATCCGGAGCTTCTTTCCGTTAAATTTTACTAATTTATATTTAATTTTATCATATTTATTAATAAATTCCTGTTTTCCAGTTAATTAAACATAAAAAGGGTTATTTCATGAAAACAAAGAATTTTTAGTATTTAAGCCTAACGTGAGATTCCGAAAAAAAAAAATAAGTAAATAATCATGCATATTAAAAAACAAATGACATGTGTGATAAAGTTAAACTATTGCATCAATAATTTTCCTGAAATATATTTACGCATATAATAACCATGACATTAATGTCATTGGTAGAGAAACTATTTTGAAACTATTTCACACTATAGTTACAAATATTAATAATGTAAATCTATAAATTTTTAGCAAGAAGTTACATGTCTCGCTCCAAAATATATATTTAATTGTTTTTCTCTATTCACTGGAATTATATTAACCATTATTTCATTTTTTCACATGATTCGCGAAACTGGTGAAATTTTCGATGGTGAATTTAGTTTCACCAAGCTGGTATATTAAATTAATTATTACATCTTTAGAATTTTGTATTCGGTTCAGAACGAATTTGCGTAATAAGGAGTTACATAAAATAATAATTTTGTTCACTAAGTCAAATGGATAACTTTAATTCTCAAACAAGTAAATAATCATGCAATGTTAAAACCAACTAAACACAAAATGGAAAAATTACATACTGGACTGGTGATATTTTAACGTAACATATCAGATATTATAATCGGCAAGTTGGTATATTAATTTATTAATTATTATTATTAAATAACATTTTTAGAATCTTTAATATTAATAATATCCGGCCCAAATGTAATGTATGACGAAAGATTACGAATAGGTGTCCAGTTTACATGTCCCGGATTTTTTTGACTGTTCAATGTTCGCGTCCGCGCCATCCACACTCTTAATTAATATATATTGAAACTTTGTAAATATATGAAAAAATAAATTTTGAAAGACTTTAATTAATAATTCAAAATAGGTTTTAAAAGTAAGTAATTTTTTGTCATCTTGGCAACACTGATAAGGAGTACATAAAATTTCTCAACAGCATTGATGCTTCTTCCATCCAATGTGCAAAATCGGTAAATCCGTTCTACATTTCAGAATGCTTCCATCAATTTCTAATTTATAATTGTTCAAGCTTGATAAATAAAGGAAGATTTGCACATTTTGTTATTTCAGAAATGATTGGTTACGAGCCAAGAAAAATCCGATGAAGGTTATATATGAAATATAGATAATTGGTTAGAAGTAGAACTTAAATTATTAAAATCATTTAAGTGTTCATTTAATGCTCGCAAAAATGGGTAAGTCAAATGTTTCTTGGTATAATGGCTTTTTTTTTTTTTTTATTTCCATTATTCTTTGTCTCATTTCTTTATTATACATTCATTTACATTTATTACTATCTTTACTAGTACCCATTTTTTTTTATTGAAGAAGTTATATCTTATACTAATGAGGCTGTTTGTATTACATAAATGATAACGAATCTAATTGATTCTTATGTGTATAGTAGGCTGATAAAATAAAATTTCAATCTTTAGTTCATATCATTTTTTTCCAGATTTAAGATATCAAAAATTCAACAAATTTATAGGTAATATAAGTAATAGTTAAATCGATTCTTTGATTAAAATTATTAAAAGGTAACATAATTCTAATATTTGAAAGATTTTTTACCATGATATTTTGTCAATTCTATTAAGAAGCATAGTAATAAATATAATAATTTACAATTTATAATCACAAATATTGTCAAGTCAAGAATATTTTACTAATTTTTTTTTTTCTTTTGAATTTATTCTTTAAGGTAATTATTATTATTATTAGCAAAATAAATTTAATTTAATTTAATTTAAATCAGTCAAAATTTTTGTAATGAAAAAAGATCTATGACATGAAATGTAAAAAGGATAAAAAATATTTTTTGTATTTATTTCCCTTTCAAACTAACATTATTATAAACTGCTTTAATGTTATTATGTATGTATGCATTATTGCACTAAGATAACACCTGATCGTATTCTTGCTCAAAATACAAAAAAAAAAATAATAATAATTAATTAATTTAAAGAAAATTTAATAAAAAATGGATTATTGAAGCAATTGATCGTCACATAACCATTTTAAGTTATAATGGTTAGAGATAATTATTTACAGGACCATATATCTTAATTAATTGTCACTTTTTTTGAATTAAAATTTATTTGTTGCCATAAAAGGAATTCTGCCACTCTTTATTATTATAATACAAATTTACATTAATCTATATTGACGTGCCTAAATTACTCGGAATTTAGGATTTGGGATTTGGGATTTGGGATATGGGATTTTGAATTTATAATCTATATTTATTTTTTGTTTACTGTGTATGTCTATCTTTTTTTACGTTTTTTTGAAATAAAATAAAATTAAAACGATTATTAAAAATCTAAGAGAGAATGAGTTTTTTTGTTTGTGTTTGTGTTTTTAAATTTAAAATTACGTTGTTTAATTAAAAAAAAATTGATTTTTGTGCTTATGGTTATGATCTTATGAATATGCTTATGATTTAAATTGATGAATGCATTTGTGATTTAAAATTGAATGCGTTTGTGCTTTTAAAATTGACGAAGTTTTAAATTCGAATATGGTTTTAGATTTTTTTTTTTTAATTTTTAACTTTTATGATAAAGCTTTGCCCTGTTAGCTAAATCAATATATCGAGCCTTTTCGTTTGAAGTGCTATTCGCCCATAAAAAGTCGGAAAGTTTACTTATGACCAAAGGGTCTCTTTCACCAAGTGAATTACTCTGACGGGCAACAACGAATCTAAGCAATTTATATCCCGTATAAATACGTCTTCGTGGAAACCTTCTGAAGTTTTTGGAATTCACTACATCTTCAAGGGTGGGCGGGGGATGAACATTTAAGTTTCCCAAAAGATTATTCGCACGAGTTTGCAAGGACATCTTTTTTTATATAATAAAGATGTAAATATTTTAAGATCAATGATGAATAATTAAAAATTAAAAATAAAAAAAAAGAAAATTATATAAATTATAAAATAAAAAATAAAAAATACAATAAAATATGAAATCTGGAAATATGAAAAAAATTACTTTCAAGCACCAAAGAACTCGATAGTTGAAAAAATTTTACGTTATTTATAAAAAAAAAACTCGGGATATTACGGTGGCACTTTTATGTCAACTGATAAATAATAATTTATTATTTGCATAATAGACTGCGTAATTAAAGATAAATGCAGTAAGATAAATGTTAATAAATAATCCCTATTTGGACTCTCGAATTCTAAATTCCAAGTTTCTGAGGCATTTTTCAATCGTTCATATTACTCGATTAAGTAATAGCAATTAAATTAAATCTTATGATTTTCGATCAAGAATTAACCAATCGGGAAATACAGATAGGACATACAAGATATGGTTTATCTCGTATTGGGGCATACTATCACGTATCTTGTCAAATTTAATTTTAGACATTAATAAATTTTTCAATAAAAAATAGAAAAAAAAAAAAAAAAACACTCATTGAAGTATTTAGTAATACATAAATATTAAAAATATTAAAATTAGGAATTATACATAATCAAATATTTCATCATAATATTATATAATTAGTATTGTTCGATATTATTTACAGTATTTATTTATAAGAGTATTTTTCTTTAAATTAATCTTTATGGTTACACTTTAAAAATTCAAGGTTCGTCCGCAGAATTTTCAATTTATTTCAATTTATTTATGGGAACTGTTAAACCAAATATCAATAGTTAAAGTTTATCTATTTTAAATTTGTACTTTTTCCCCCTTGAAAAATTACACACTACAGATAAAGTTGTAATTCATGTTTCTATTTTAAGAAATATAAATAATAAAATTAATATTCTTAGAACGCTAATCATAAAAATAGATTTTCTATTTTATTAATAATTTAAAATATTACTTGAGGAAATTATTATTATCGAAGTTTAAATTTTTAAATTCTAACATAATTAAAAGTCGGAACAAATTTTTTTGGGAATGAACGAATTAAAGAAAATAAAAAATTAATGTTTCAACGAGGCGCATGGGACTCGAACCCACAATCCCCAGATCCGAAGTCTGATGCCTTATCCATTAGGCCAACGCCCCAAATAATGTCTCACTTAACAACTTAATTTTTCAATTAAAAAATCAAGATTGCTGATACATATGCAGTGTAACAACGTGCACAGATTTCTATTTATGCGACGGTTATCTAAACTTAAAACTTTAAAAATAAATATAATTATCTGTGACAATGTTTTAACTAACAATAACAACAATTCTATTTTGATTATTATTATTTCGTGTACGAATGTTTATTTACGTCTTTATACATTTTTGTACGTTTTTGTACATAGCTAATTTTAGGGGATAAGTTATTTAAAGATTAAAGAAGATAATAAAAGATATGTATATAATACAATAAGGTAACGAAGGATATATATATATGTGTGTATTTATAAATATATATATATTAGGGCTTAGGTATTTTATGAAGAGGAGTATACGAAGAGATAATATATCATAAATTATTTTTATATGGTTATTTTCTATGATTATTTACTAGGGTTATTTTATGCAGTGATTATAAATACAAGATGTTCGTATATTGAATTCTCACAAAAGAATACATTTCCCACTTGAATTGCTAGATAAACCTTTACGTTTGGCACGAAGACTTACAAGGGCTGACTGTTCGAATGCTTCTCTTACACCTATGTCATTAATTGATGGAAGTTATCAGTGGAAGGAGTTGATATAAGTTATTTACGAAAGTCATTAATGATGGAAGTCGTTGATAGAAGTCATTTGCAGAAAAATTATTGATAAAAGTCATTTGTATAAATCCATTTATAAAAGAATTACATGATAGAATTCATTGTTAGCAGAAAATTTTGATAATTTACTGTTAAAGACAGAAATATTGCAGACTTACCTCGATTGTGTTTTGCTGAACATTCTAGATATTTAGATGCTCGAATATTTCGAGCAACTTCTATACCCTTTATTTTATAAATGTTAAATATGATAATTTAGTATTTTAAATTTTAACAAAACGTATTTATATGATGTATATAATGTAATGTATATAAAAAATATATTTAATTACCTCTTCATATGATACAGGCATTTCTCCATATCGTTTCATATTCTTCTTTACCTGAACGTCTTCTCTTAGATCACATTTTAACGCCACTAAAACAAGTTTGACCCCTGCACAATGTTCACGTATTTCTTCCATCCATTTTGATTCTACATTTTCTAAAGAATCTCGATTATCTACCGCAAAGCATAACATGATTACATGTGTATCCGCATAAGATAATGATCGTAAACGATCAAATTCTTCCTGGCCTGTTATTATTATTATTAATTAATTTATTAATTAGTTAAAGGAATTGTATATAGATATATGATAAAAAAATAATAGTTATGTTTTTTTTTACCTGCAGTATCCCAAAGTGATATTTCTATATGCTTATTTTCAATCCATATATCATGGACATAGTTTTCGAACACCGTTGGTTCGTAATTCTTTTTTTTAAAAAAAAAAAAAATAATTTAAAAAAAAAATAATTTAAAAATAAATTTATGAAAGAAGACCACAATAACATTTCTTTTATATATAGTATACCTGTGGAAAACGGCCTCTTGTAAATACATTTAGAAGTGAAGTTTTTCCACACGCACCGTCACCTACAACCACTAATTTACGATTTAATGTTTTGTCCTTATTAAAGAATGGTCCACAACCCATTTTTTTTTAACGAAAAGAAAATAATAATTTTCAAAAATATATCAAAGGAATAAGATAAAGTTTTTTTCAGATATTTATTTATTAGAATTCAAAAGAAGTCAAGAAAAAATATCACCAAATGAGTACATTATTTATAAACACTTTTTTTGTCACGGAATTAATTAACCGTTGTTGCATTTTATTACATTGTGCCACTTTGTCTGTAATCGGTTTCGGAATTTCTTTATGAAGATTTTCTTTATTGTAAAAAGGTATTTAAGCATGTGTTAAAACCAATGCTAATTTCCGATTCTTCTGAAAGAGAAATCATTGTGAATATGATAGAATTTCTAAGGTAAATCATAATAATATTGACTTATAAAATTGTTAAGAGAAGATAAGTCATGTTCGAAGGTCCGAAAAGACCAAAAAGATTGAACGTCTTTGTTTTTTTCTTGTAACACTTGATTGCCAATTAAGTAACAATAATTAAAGCATAACAATAACAATAACAATTTAATATTTAAGTCGAAAGAATTTTAAAAGAATTATTTACAAATTATTTGTATAAATTATTTTTACTAACCTTTCCATTTGAAGGTAAATAAAAGATATATTAACATCATGATATCTTTATTTTGTCCTTGGCGAAAGTTCCCCTAGAAAAACTCTTTTTTTTGCAGGAATTTGACTGTTTCACATACTCGGATTCATTATACATTTGACCGATAAAAATCAAATAAGGAAATTCATAATTGTCTCCTTTTTTTTATTAAGAAAAAACTGGAAACAGCTCCCAGACTAATTTCCATTGAGTATACATTAGTAGCATGTAGCATATACGTTAACTTTGCTAACATAACAAATAAGTGTTAAAGAAACTTTTTATTCTTTTTATTCTTACAAATAATTTTTTTACTCGTGAAAATATCGGATAGAATAAATTTTATATTAAAAAATGAGTGGAACAATGATTTTAATTTTAATTTCTAAAAATGTAATAAACTTGCCATTACGTAATTTTAGTAATTAACAGTTCAAAATTCGGAAAATAAAAGTTAGAATTATTATTTCGCATTGAAGATTCCCTTATTACCAAATTTGGTTAGTTTGCCATGGTTATATTAAAAATAGTCTAGTTTTTATTATTCATTAAAAAAAATTTTTTCTTTTCTTTATAAATAAGATATAAAATTCTATACGAAATTCAATAATTATTGATCCATACAGAATCATATATATATATAAAATTTCACAAATTCTCCAAATTCCCATATAAAATGGATCTACGAACTCGCCTTCTGATAAATTTGAATATTCATCCTCCTCCTAATATCGAAGAAATTATAAACTCCTTGAATTCCAGGAAATCTCTTGTAAATGTAGTAGACATGAAAGTTACACTGGATATAAATTATTTAAATCAATATATGGCAAACCAAACCAAATTGTTGAGTGAAAATAATCCCTTTATTATAAGTAAAGTTCCTAATATTTTGTGGGTAAATAGTACACCACGAGAAAAGCTTCGAATGCATAGATTTGGAAAAAAGAGTAAAAGCTCTTCTTATGGAATTGTATGGAATATATGGAATATTAAATTAATTCGGGGGGTAAATAAATATAGAACATAAATCAAAATTTGTTAACAATTCGCTAAACATATTTGGATCTCACATGGCAAATAATTCTACGATAAATAAAAATAAAATTTCCGATTAAAAGAAGCACTCTTTATAAATGATTATTAAAACGCCATATTCATTAATTCCAAATAAACTTTATAAATGATTAATTTACACAAATACAAACATGCTGAATACCAAAAAAGAAAGAAAATTCGTCAATACAATAAGTCATATATATATAATAAGAAATATTGTTCCACCACCTTTTTGTAATAAAATTGATATGGATGTAACCTGTAATTATATGCCTTTTTAATTGATGATAATGATTATTTCCAGATTTATACAGTATATAAAAAAATATTATCAATATTTCTTACCGATAGTCTACAAAATTTGAGATTGCGATTGATAAATATAATTAAGGAATATCACTTTTTACATCATTTATAAAAATTCGTTTCAATACGATTTATTAATTTTTTTTTTAAATTAAAAAAAAAAATAAACTCTACCATACATAACTCACTTACATACTATAAGCGAACAGAAAATGGATATATTCCCAGAATGCAAAAGAATATATAGAAAAAACGGTGACTGGTGCAGACCGTGCCACTCGACACGTTTCAAAAATGATTTTGATAAATGAACAAGTTGAAATGACACAATCGATAAATTTATTCAAGATACTCAACTAAATGCTGATTTTTATAAATTAATAGAATGGATACCTTATGATAGATTTCGAGATATTAGAAAAATAGCAAAAGGTGGTTATGCTACTATTTATCATGCTAATTAGGTTGATGGATTTGGGATGTTGAAAATCAACAATGGAAAAGATGAGGTCAACTTGAAGTGGGCGTTAAAAAAGTTTGATGGTATTGTAGATGTAAATGAAGATTTTTTAATTGAGGTAAAATAATATTTTAAATTAATATAATTAATATGAAATTATTTGAAAATATATTATAATTTAAAAAAAAAAATATGTTATTTAGATGGAAAATCTCTCGAGAATAAATGATAGTTCATCAGTTTTACTTTTTGGAATTACAAAAGATCCAGAAACTCACGAATATATTATGGTTTTAGTATATTATAAAGGTGGAAGTCTTAGAAATTATTTAAATAATCATTTTAATAATATCGTTTGGGAAAATAAATTAGAACATTTATCAAAACTTCATAAATTAGATATAGTTCATCGTGATTTTCATACCGGAAATATTTTAAAATCAAGTTCTTATTATGATGATAATGATGTATGTATATCGGATTTTGGATTGAGTAAATTAATTACAAAAAACATAAAAAACACCCAAAAGAATAAAATTTCTGTGGTATTACCCTATATAGCTCTGAAATATTAAGTAGAGAAGAGTATACAAAGGCTGCTGATGTTTATTCATTTGCATTTGTTGCTTATGAAATCGTCAATGGACTTCCTCCGTATCACGATGTGTCGCATGATAAAGAGTTGGCTTTGAAAATATGTAATGGATTTCGACCAAAAATTCTATTTCACACACCTAAATTAATTACACAAATAATCATGCGATGTTGGGACGCTCGAATTACACATCGACCCACTTTTAAAGAATTACATAAAGAGTTGGCTAAATACGTGGAAGATTATAAAAATAATTTTTTTAAAAAAAACGAAATTACAATTCAAATTAGAGAAGCTGAAGAATTTTCCAAAAATCAAACAACAACTGATTTAACAACTCCAATGAATTACAAAACACATTTAGAAGCAATTTATACCAGTAGACTCCTCAATTATTCAAGTCTTCCAAAACCTAAGAATGATGAAAATTTTGAAAAAGAACTTGAGGAAATTACAAAATCTACTTCTGCTTTAAGTATGGGTAAGTATCAATTATAATTTTTATATATTAAATTTTACAATTTTTTTATAATTCAAAAAATATTAATTTATTCCCATCTTTATTTTTGAACAATTTAGTTGCATCTAAATTGCACAATTATTTTACATAATATCCTAGCTTAGTATTGTTACATTTTTATGTATTCAGTTAACTTGATTATAATAAAATATTGTATCTTGTTTTAATAATAATACAGTAAATATCTCAGAATAAATTGTGATTTATGTTTCCATTTATTCTTATGCTTTCAATTTATCTTAAATAATATTTCTTTCATATCAAATATCTTCTAAAATAGTTAAATTTTTGATTTCATTATCAAGTAAGAATAATTTCATAAATTTCAAGGTTTAGACAAGATTTCATCAATTAATTATAAATATTTAATCATGTTTATTTTATAAAATGTAATGAGTTATAATTTCCTATAGAGAAAGAAATAATTTACTGATTTAATAAACAAAACACCTGGTTGCCATTGGCATATTTTTTGTTAAATGTAAGAATAGTAATAAATTTTATCAATTTAAGAATAAAAAAGACTAAGACTTAATGTACTTAATGTGTACTATAAATGAAGAAATTCTGGATTACATAATTATTCATCAGATCTGATCCAATTTTCAAACTCCATAATTCAAATTCAGATTTATCACATATCAACTTTTAAAATCTGAATTCAATTTTTATTGTATTTGGATCAATCTGAATATATAAAAATATTTGGATACTTTATGTGAATTCAAATATTTTTTTGTGAATTCAAATATTTTTTTGTAGATTCAAATATTTTTTATAGAGCTTTAATACTTTAAAGTTAACAATTATTTTATTATTTTAAACTTATACATACAGTATATTGATTTTTAAATCTTATAATATTTATAATTCATTTTTCAATGGATCAATTTACCATGATCTTAAGCACATGAAAGCTTTTACAGTTTTATCTGTTAACTGATTTCTATTATTGTAATTAAAATTTTTGCTAGTTGAAAAACATTGTTTTAATAATACACTAGTTGCTAGTATTGACAAATAATAATGTGCCATTTTAGAAAAATGAGGAAATTGATCTATATTATTTTTCTACCATTCAAGAAAATTCATGTTTCATCAACTGTATATAAAGTTCATTCAATTTTCTGTATGATGCTTTTTGAATAAATATCCTATAATAGAATTTTCTATTTAGAATATAAAATTGATTTTTGATTTTTGGGATATTTCATTTTTTTGAGATTTATATGGAATCTATTCTATATATGGAAGTAAAAAAAATATCTAGTTAAGTGTATCATTAATCAAAGAATTTATTTAAATAGTTAAAAAATTTCAGGTTTTAAGTAAAATAATTTCATCTTCTATGAAAAACTATTTCAACTTTTTTCTCTAAAATTGTAATTTCAGGACTTCAAAATAATTTTGCATGCAAGTATAGTTCAAAAGATTCATTTTCATTTGAAAACTCACATAAAGTAGGTACATAAAATAT